GTGAGGCTTCGAACCCAGATCGGCTAGCCCACCACCTTGTGTAACTAGCCGAAAAACCCATGGGTGTTTCTCTCGAAACATAGTGCTATAAGACGATTATCCATATAAATACACAATGAACGCCTTCAAAGATCGACCAAGAGGTGAGGCGAGGCAAGCCTAGGGCCTTGCCTTCGTAATCATGTTTAAATTCTCGTATTCTACAATTCAGAATTAAAATAAAACTATAACCCACTAGTTAAACCTAGGTTTTGATGATTTTTGGCTCCGCCACTGACTGGACCGTTGTATTTTGTGATCGACGAAGTCACCATAGGTGTTTCGTTATCGACCAGTACATCGCCTATCACTAAAAAAATAATTAGTTATAAATGCGACCGAAATGCTGCCTTGCACCAACTGATAAGAGACCAAAACTATTTTGCTTTTTTTTTTCTTTTTTGCATGGTTTTGAGAGGAGGAGGGCATGAAGAAACTCAAAGGTAAAGGGGCCATGCACAAGATGTGGCAAACTTTTCATCGTTTTGTTCCTTTTGGAGACATAATCTTTTTCTAATAACAGAATAGAAATCCATCCCGGCCTTTGCTCAAACGAATTACAGCCAATTATTACACCAAATCACTCAAAACGAGTGCAAATCAAAGAGAACTTAAAAAAAACTCTTCCAAACATAAAGCCAACACAGACTCATAAATGCCAACACAAGATAAAGAGCACACAATTATTGAATTCTATTTGTGAATCTCCATCCGAAGTTGACAAAAAGCTGCATAATTGTCGTCTCAAGATTACGACATGTAGTCTTCAAAAGCTTGCAGTCTTCATCATACTTTTGTAGTTGTGCCCAGGACCGTAGTCAATATGTTGCCCTGAAAAGAACCTGCATATAAGACATATACTATGTGGAAGGTATAAACCAGATGAAACCTGAACAGCTCTCCAAAGAAATTTTACAAAGTGACACTCCATTAAAAAAGATGTTGAATGGTCTCATTTTTCATACATAAACAACATCTCAAACTACCATTTCCATTTTCTCCTAGCTAAGTTGTCCTTTGTCAACACTACCCCCTTAGACATAATCTATATAGCCTATATAGTTGAAACTAAAACCTTACATGTATTGAGCCAAATCATTTTAAAAAAATAGTTGACTTTCCATGTTATGCTTTGATCTCAACCATCCATATGTTATGTGTATTTACATGCACTTATTATAGTTATGGCAAATAAAGCTCAATATGCACTAGACCATCGCACCTAGTAGAAAGTTACTCCGTCTGTCCTAAAATATAAGCATTTTTAGCTATGAATCTGGACAATTATGTGTCCAGATTTATAGCCAAAAGTTATTATATTTTGGGACGGAGGTAGTAATAGCAATTGGATCCCATACATCCACATGTCATGTACAATTACAATTCTTAATCAAATACTATATAGCTTAAAATATTGTATTTTAAGTAGTAGGATATACGATTTACAAAATTATTTTTTTCATGTTCTCTTTCCGATATTTTTAACTATCCACTGCAACACGCAGGGTTTCCATTATTTTTTTCACATGATTTACACACTACAATTTCATAGGAATTGGTTACAAATTGAGAAAAAAAATTCTAGCATTCCAAGGGCTTTAAGGTGAACAGAAAGCTTAGATCTCAGGACATCAGGTACGAGAGTTTCCCATGATCCACTTTTTGAACCGATCGATTAAACATCGCTTTAATTTGCTTCCCTTCAATAATAATTATTCTGGGCTACTTAGTAGCTACTCTAGCTAACAGAAGATGACAAAAGCCAAAGATGCACACAGTACTCAGAGTACTAAGACCAAATAATCAAACCAAATAAGCCCATGTGATGTACCATCAACATCAGTGTCTTCCCAAGCCATATGCTTTTGCATTGCCTTGCAATTGCATTGTATGCACGGAGAGAATAATCGGTTCAGGAAGAGAAAAGAAGCCAAAGACATTGTTGTCCTCATCGCCATGGACGGTTTCTCCAACGGGGAAAGATGCAAAGCCAAAAGGGCGAGACGATCTCATCTCATCTGATCGATCTAGTACACGCCATTGATGAGACTGGCTAGTACTATGTCCCCGTCGTTAACGCCTCTGCCTTTTCTGAAAGTTGGCAATGCAGTGCCAACGGCAGTGGGCGTACCGTGTGCTCGTGTTCAGTACTCCTACGTAGTAGTAGTACATTGCATCGATCATGAGATGCAGTAGCAGCCTGCTGGAATTTGATCGAGTAGCTAGGTAGGTAGCTATAGGCTAAAGCTAGTTAGCTACTCCCCCGTCTCATAAAAAAATCAATCTAAAATAAGATGTGATGTTTTGTACTCCCTCTGTCCCATAATATAAGAGATTTTGAGTTTTTCTTGCAACGTTTGACCACTCGTCGTATTCAAAATTTTTTGAAATTATTATTTATTTTATTTGTGACTTACTTTATTATCTACCGTATTTTAAGCACAACTTTTCGTTTTTTATATTTGCAAAAAAATTTTAAATACAACGAGTGGTCAAACGTTACAAGCAAAAACTCAAAATCTCTTATATTATATGACGGAGGGAGTAGTATCTATCCAGATCTATTGTACCAGAAAATATCAAGTCCCATTATAGATTTTTTTTTAGGATGAAGGAAATAGGTGCTGATCGATGATGGCATAGGTGGTTTTGGGTGAAATGCAGTGTTGATCTAAAACCCTTTTTGCTTTTGTGATTTTGTCACTGGGATCTCCTTTCCCTTTTCTTTTCAAAGTATGATGATGTCCAACTTGTCTAGTCGAGAAATATAAGGTGTAGATGGAATGATACTAATACCGTGGTCGGGAGAGTTGGTTAGAAACTCCTATCGGTAGACGGTAGTTCATTGTCGTATGATTAATTAAATATTAATTATAAAAATTAAAAAAATAAATTAATATGATTTCTTTAAAGGAACCTTTCTATAGATATAGAAAGAACACTCTTGTTTAGCATTTTAGAAAGCGTGTGTGCGTGAAAAACGAGAAATTAGAAGTTGAGAACTTATAGTTCTAAGATATATATATATATATACATATATATATATATATATATACATATATATATATACATATATATATATATACATATATATATATCTATATATATACATATACGTATATATACATATACATATACGTATGTATACATATACATATACGTATATACATATATACACATATATACATATATATATACATATATACACATACGTATATATATATATATATACATATATACATACATACATATATACATACATACATACATATATACATATATATACATATACATATATATACATATATATATATATATATATATATATATATATATATATATATATATGTATATATACATATATATATATATATATATATATATATGTACTTCCTCTGTTTCATAATATAAGTCTTTCTAGCATTGTCCACATTCATATAGATATTAATGAATCTAAATATATATGTGTGTTTGATTTATTAACATATATATGAATGTGGACAATGCTAAAAAGTTTTACATTATGAAATAGAGGGAGTATATTTTTAAACCTTTTATTTTTTATTTTAAAAATAAACTCACTCAAAACTCACATCTAAATCTAAACTTTTTGACCACACTGTCGTGATAGCATTGTTTTGCCAGCACAAAATTATCATGCCCGCTAGCGGGTGGCGTGAAAGTGTTGTTTTGCCACGTCAGACGAGATGGCATGCGCAAAATGTTTAGATATTGGAAATAAGTTTTTTGATGGTTTATTTTTAAAGTTAAAAATTAAAGAGGTTCAAAAAAATAATAAAATTCTAGTTCTAAACATACCTTTTCCACACACACGTTTCCCGAACAACTAAAGGTGAGTTTTCTTTTAAAAAAGTCTAGAGAAAAATTGCTTTAAAAATCATATTAATTCAATTTTCAAGTTTTTTATAGCTAATACTTAATTAATCCTATGCTAATAAGCCACCGCTTTGCGTGCATAGGAGAGAAGTTCCCAACCTTCTCTCTTAAACACAGGCTGAGTTTGGTACAATCCTTTCCTCACTTCTACTTCGTCATGTTCCGTGCAGACACTTATCGAACCGCTAGACTTGTAGTTTTCTTTTATAAATCTATAGGAAAGTTGCTTTAAAAATCATGTTAATTTGTTATTTAAGTTTTTTAAGCTAATAATAAATTAATTATATACTAATAAGCTACCTCGTTCTCCATGGGAAGGAGAAGTTGCGGACTCATCCTGAAAGCGCCCTAATTAATCATGCGCTAAGTATGCTACTGGCCTCACTTGATAGAGCAACCCAGTTTAATTTCGTTCGATGGGCATAAAAGAGTCTGGAAGTGGACCATCCAGTGTTGTAAGCAGGCCATATATAGCCCATATAAGCGTCTCCATATCTGCACATTGGCTCTCTTTGGATCCGGAGAGGCTATTAAATAGCCCTCCAAAATCTTGCTATTTAAGAATATTAAATGTAGATTACTGATAAAACTCATTCCATAACTTCTAGGCTATTTTGCGAGACGAATCTATCAAGGTATATTAATCCATGATTTACTACAGTGATGCTACAGTAATCAGCCGCTAATTATGAATTAATATACATCATTAGATTCATCTCGCAAAATAGCCTCGAGGTTATGGAATCGGTTTTGTCGGTACTCTACGTTTAATAATCCTAAATAGCAAAATTTCGGAGGGCTATTTAATAGCCCGAAGGATCCAAACAAGGCCATTGACAGTTGACACAAATACTGTCTTCTCTTTTTTTTAGATGACACAAATATTGTCTCGATGTAACAAAAAGGAACAGTATAATTTCCAATTATTATTTTTGCCTGCTAAAGCACAATTTAACACGGATAAGTCTAGAACGACCGAATTGTTGTGTTTAGAATTAGAATATGTAAACATTATGACACCCCAAAATTTAAAAGCATACAATTAGCATGAGTTGGCTCATGAATGGCTGAATGCTGGTAGCAGCTCGCCTCTCATCGAGATAGCTCTTCCATTGGCTGCTGTAAGTGTAACATTCTTACACAATAAGGATGTGAAATCACAAACATACATGCAACCTGCAAACATTGCTTCCAACTGCAAGAATTGAAGGATGCTATACGCTTTCGCAACCAAAAAAACAATTCACATCCTACTGCCAAAAGAACTGTTGACCCATTTTCCTTTTTTCTATTTCCTCATATTCCATTTTACATACATATAAGCAATAACAATGGAGAGCTATAGCTGGATCTATATCAAACCATGACGACAAAACACATGCAAAAAAGGGGTGAACAAAAAGGCCAAGAGCTGGTGGCAAAAAGGAGGCAGAAGCAGGAGGCAGGGGAGAGAAGGGCAGCAACAGCAGCGCAAGGGAGAGGGCAGCAAGGCGTCAAAATTAGAGTGCTCTACCTACAACCATGCCAACCCTTGCGAGTGTGTTCTTCCATGACCATCTGCTAAAGAAAGAGCCATGGAAAACATCATCTGTTCTTCGATGCTCTCCGGGCGGAAGTGGCTTGGCGCCATGGCGAAGTTCTCGGCGAAAGGCAGCTGCGGCATGGTCCCGGCATCTGCCACGATGTCTGAGCCCGCGTAGCTTGTTCCGGCCTCTGCACCCTCCGACCAGTGGTCAGCCGAGCACTCTCCTTCTTCTCTTACCACTTCCCTGCTGCAGCTTGGTGCTATCCCGCTCCAGCTCTCCGGTGAGCTCTCCAGATTACACATGCTTCCACCAGCAATGTTGCATGGTCGCCGGAACATGTCGAAAACTGGGAATGCGCTGCTGCCAGCCATGTAAGAGAAGTCCATACTGGGTGGCTGGTGCTCAGCCATTGCCGCAACCGCACAGGAAAATCCACCACCATGAGGTATTTCTAGAGAAGCAGCTGGAACGAATGGCTGGCGTTCACGCGGAGATGGCTCAGTTACAGGCATAAAGTTGCCACAGACAGGATTCCCTATACTTCCCTGCTCCTGCTCAGAGAAAAGATTGACCGTATTAGGATAGAAATATATGCAGACTTTTCTATACGCAATACATGAACTTTGCTTATTGTTTATTCCCAAGAATCTAAATTCAAAGATGAAGCAGCATTTAACATAAAGTTTACATCTTTCTAGTAACAAGCTATACAGAAGGAAAAATGCTCACAAAAGAAAGAAGCTGGAAACATAGACCAAATGGCAAGCAACTTATTGGGGAACAGTACACGATGAGCTACAGCTTGAACAGCAAATGAATAAATGATACTACCTCCGTCCCAAAATAAGTGCAGCCATGGTTTTCAGCGCCCAACTTTGACCATTCGTCTTATTTGAAATTTTTTTGAAAAAATCAAAAACATAAGTCACGAGTAAAGTACTATTCATGTTTTATCATCTTATAACAACAAAAATGCTAATTATAAAAAAATTTCAAATAAAACGGACGATCAAAGTTGGGCGCGGAAACTCATGGCTGCACTTATTTTAGGATGGAGGTAGTATAACACAAAGGACGGAGAAAAAAAACACCATTAGTTCCTGACCTGAACGTTAAGTGGCTAATAATTGGGACCGCAAAACTAACAATGCAACCATCATAACAAATCAATTTGATGGCTAAGGGCATGGGAAGAGCTGAGTTTAGCAATGCTGTTAGATAATAAGTTCCCTTCAGGAATGCAGGAATGTGAAAAGTCCTCTTGTTCTCACAAAATGACCAGAAATATTTTTGTGCCAAGCGCAGTACTGCTCAAGTAAAATGACAAAAAGATAACTTATCTTACCAACCCCATCATCTACTGGCCTGTTTTGTTTGAGGAATCACACCATCTAGGATGATTTTGGCATGAATACTGCATTACTCATTTTTCCACTAGCATGTGCCTGAGGAATGAGGCAATGATGAACTAACTGATGTTGGTCCCTCAAACCAAACATATCCTACATTATCCACTATCGCCAATACACTTCTCAACAATTTAATTGACATTTTTTTTTATTATTGAACACTTAACAATACAGGTTCTGCTTGTGCAGACTAGATCTTGCATTTATCAGAACTCGCAAAATGCTCTGAATTCAACAAGCATGCCAGGAGATTAGCAAACTTTCATGTTCAATGCAAATAACAATCTATTTTTGTGCAGCTCATTTACAAACCATTACCTGACCCAACAAATCAGCTTTTATAATATTATCCACAGTATGCCATATGCATATTATCAATAATCTCATGTAAGGACCAGTGAGAAAACTACTAACCTGAATGGAACGCCAAATCGCTTCCATAACCATCATATCCTCTATATTCATGTCAATGTTATCATCACTGTAAGGGGAAACACACAGTTTCATAATTTTAGAAACCATTTTCATCTCAACAGCATAAAGGATTATCATGACCAGCAAGCAAGAAACACTTAGTACAGGAAAAATATCCATATGGTAAACTATAAAACTGAAGGGAGATTAAGGCACCATTTATTGATATTTGGCCTCTTTCAGAAACTGGTTTTCCATATAAGTTCATAAGTTGATCAAAATAGGCTTCAGGTTTCAAAAATGGCTTTGTCATCAGAAGTCCTTAAGCCATACTTATGCTCTGGTCATAGAGTTTAAACTTTGCAGCACTGCACTAAGCTGACGTTGAAACCCTCCCAAACAGGGTATGAGGGAAACACAAATTCACTACCAGTACAGAATGTCAATCTTCTGAGGAGGACAGGAAGCAAAATAATAATAGGTTCTCTAGAAAAATATGAAACTAGCTTATAGAAACAATATGAAAACCAATATTGATCATCAAGATGTTTTATTCGATTCAAATACTCCATGGAACCCCAACTTCATATTGACTCGAGTATCCTGTATCCCTCTACCGTTTAGCTTCTGCTGTTATACTACACATTAACATCATAAAAAGTAACTTCTGTTTGATGTGAGGATGTGCCATGTGTGACTGAATAGACGATTGTTGTATACTATTGTGCAGCATCAAGAAAAACTTGAAAAAAACTCACAGTACACAAGTTATGCTACACTGTATTTTATGTCTAGCACAATAGGAGAAGATAACGTCATCAAGAAATGTTTACTCCTCAAGTCTATAAAATAGCCTGACAATATTGAGAACATCAAGCGAACACAAGTTTATAGGTAAAAGAACCAAATGAGTGGTTTACTTCCTCTAAAAGCATTTAGCATTGTTTTGTGCTAATTTGGTATCGGAACCTACGTTATTGCTTATTTCATCCTTGGATTGAAGACCACTTAATCTATTGGATGCATGTAAAGGGCTACAATATACTATTTTGTGTAGTAGTTACTTGCTACATCAACTTGGTATGGACAGTGGGATAAAAAGAACCCAGATTGTTTTTTCGGAATTGGCCATTGTGTGAAATAAAAACACTGAATGTCGATAACAAATAACCATATTGAAAAACAAATCCATTCTCAATTTTATACTTAGGATTTACCTCGAACAATTTTGATCAAACTGTTTTGGTGTTTTTATCCCTCTAGAGTATAGATAAACTAAAGATTACTGTAACTATCATGGTACAACAATGATGTGGGCAGAAATTCTCTCCATTCACACTTTCACAAATTAAACATTCAAACTTTGTCACTGGATAGGCAATTGTATCTGATACAAGTCAACCTTAACACTAGAACAGTAACTCCAATCACAGCTTCTCATCCACTTAAATAGTGCAGTGGATCAGGACAGACTGCACAAGCTTAAAGTGGAATAATTAAATGATCTTGTCCGAAATGCCAGTGTTTTATGGTGTCTGGTCCCCACTATCCAATTTAATCCAACGGTTGATCTTTGTTATCGATTTGATTCTATAGATAATACTGTTACTTTCCTTTATCCTATTTTAACAATACTTCTCATTTGCTTCCCTTCAACATGGTTGAGGTAGGGTATTTAACATAGAAGTGTAGTAAGGTTTGCAGTTCAACATAACCAGGCTACAATGACACCCTAAAACTCAGAGAAAAAGATAATAACATACCGGTTATGCCTAGAATGGAAAGGGCGCATGCTAGTCTGGGCAGAGCATGAAGGTTCCGATGAACAGCATTCAGTTTCTTGCTCAGCACATCGGTATGACGGCACTGAAACAGACATAACACATAGTAAATTACCACATCAAGCAGAAGAAATGGTACATTACTAAATTTCTATGTTAGTTGCAGCCTGTGCAGACCTGAAAAGGATGTGCTGCAAATATCTCTATACTCCACTTCTTTGGTCGGTGTGATTGTTCTGCTAGAAGAGCACCTGTTCTGTTTTCTTTTCATCTTATCTTCTTCATCTTGAAGTGCTTGCTGGCGCATCCTCATTTGTGCTTCTATGACTTTCTGCTCTTCCTGTAACACATATTATGTGAGATAAATGAAATGCATTTGGCAAAACAAAAAAAAAACATCAGAATATAAATTACTTACAAATTGTTCTATGCTCCTTTCCTCCTTTGTCTTTACACCACGATACTCCACAGCATAACTGGGAGTTTTGCAGAATGGACATCTTTATTGGTTAAGTATTTTTTTCATAAAAAGGAATATAGATTGCCAACTGCCAAGGTTACAAAATATAATCAAGGGTGACACAAAGGATACTGTGTAGGCTGAGCAGTGTGAGTTGGTTTCATTTGGAGAAAGCACTCTGCAAAAAAACCAACCATTGAATATAAGGGTATATGGTCCTAACAAGTAAAACACAATTGTTAGTTATAGGATAGATGTATTACCGGTGCATATCCCTTTTGAGCAACACTTTGATCGGTTAAGACTTGGGTAGTACTACAAAGAAAGAAAACATGCATTTCAGGACAGGAGTGGTTGTCAAACAGTTTGAACTCAGAAATACCAGAAGTGATAATTGTTAAATACCACTATTAGCACAAATGCAAACATATAATTCAACACCAAATATAATATACTCCTATAATACAAGTTTCATGATTTCATCTAAAACCAAATTTATTGAGTGATTTTGAGCTAAAGATCTAATGAAGCAGAATTGCAATAAAATTGCAACCATATAGAATTGCATTAAAATTCCTATATAGTAATAACATTAATTGCAGTAAGCTAGTAGCATTAAAGCTGCAGAATTTTTTTTTAAAAAATCTACTTTGTGCCAAATAAATGCAGGCTTGACAAGAGACATCGAAAATACTCTGGCACAGCTAACAGAATCAAGTTCACTACAATAGATTCTCAATCTCGGTTCCCAAGAGCATTAATACACCAAAAATAAAGTATTACACACAACAAACAAATATCACCATGGTACCTCCGTACTCTATAGAGCATCCACTATTAGAAATTGAAGGCACCCAACATTGCAGAACAGTTGGCCAATTATTCATTTATGAAACTAGTCAAATTTCCTATAAGGTCTGTAATGTCCCAACCCCGGGAGTGGCAGTAAACATTAAATTTCATGCAATGCATCACAGCCAGGCAGCCAATAGATAGGCCTATAGAATATTGACAATAATAAATGAGTACCCAAAACCTCCTAGACTATAATTATCCCAAAAAAACGTATCTCAGAATTACATAATAAAAGTAAGTAAACTATGATTAAGAAAACAAAACAATTTAGGAGAACATTGCGGACAATGTACATACGAAGTATGATACCACTACTAACTACCAGAAATAATTCAAACACTACTACTACATTTCGCAAAATCAGCTCCACGAACCGCACTAATTATCCAAGAACAATACAAACAACCCCAAAACCGTGCCAATGTCGACTGAAATTCTTGCCCCAAAACACTGCGCGTGGTCATCCATCTCCATAACGGCCACACACCACCGGCACTCTCCACAATCGAACAGGAGCAAAAGTAATCAACCCCCTAATCGAAACGCTCCACGCCACCACCCGGCCACACGCAATCCACGCCCTACTCTCGCAACAACAAGTACTAGTAGTAGCATTACGACAAAATCCCACCAAAAAAAAAGAGAGAAAAAGCTGAAGTGGAAGGAAGCGGGAGGAGGAAGTGAGGAAGAGGGGAGAGATCTCTTCCTCCCGTCCACCCGCCACATCTCCCCGGAGGCGGTTTTATACCAGGAAGCAGATGGGGCACTCCTCGAGGTCGGCGGCGGCGGCGGCGTCGTCGGCGCCCATGTAGCACGGCGCGAGCTTGGCCTCGAGGATCAGCTTCCGGAGCTTCTTCTGGTCGATGTCCCTGTGCTCGTACAGCCCCTGCGGCCTCGTGTACCTCTCCTCCACCCCCGCCTTCCTCCTCCCCCCTATCCTGTTCCCCATCCCCCTCCCAGATCTACCCTCCTCCCTCCTCCTCCCTCCTCCTCCGCAGATGAAACCCTCACCACTCCCCCTCCTCCTCCTCCTCCGCCGCCGCCGCCTCACCGTAGATACATACGGTGGTGGAGATGGAGGTGGTGGTATACGCACGCGTACTCGGAGCGGAGGAGGGGGGGTGATGGGGACGACGACGCGAGGGCGAGGCGAGCTTTTTTTTTGAAAAATAATTTTTCTTTTTTTGGCTTTCTCGGGGTGGGAGGAAAGGGAAGTGGAGACCTCTCTGCTGCTGCAACAGCTAGCCGCTACGCTATGCACAAGGAAAGGAAGAAGAGAAGAGAAGAGCGGCCTTGTCTCTGCCGCTGCGACTGCGAGAGAGACTGCGACCTCTGTAGCCTAGCTTCTGCTGCTGCTGCTGCTGCTGCTGCTGCGGTCGCTATAATAATCTCGGTGCCAGAGCCACATAGCCGCAGTTTGCAACGGGGCGGGGGGCTGCCTGTCTAGCCGCTTGTGGGGATAGCGGTGGTAGTAGTAGATTTCAGAGAGGGTGGTGGGGATGAGGATGCTGGTGGTACCTTTGTCTATGCTTTATACTACCTGTTTTTTCCGTGGTTTTATAGATGTGAGATGAGAGTGTTTTTCATGTTTGTTAACTTTTTTTTTGTTATATGTTTTTTAGCTTAAAGATGTTTTAGATGTTTTCGTGTTGGTCAGCATCTTTTGTATATATGGCGTGCGGAAGCGGATTGCAGTGGAGACGTGACGGTTTTGGGTGGGCGGGCGGTGAAGATAGATGTACTACGTAGGATGATCTCTAGCTGGATGTACAGTGAGGTGGAGGGGTTACGTGGGGTCCAGGTTGCATTTTGTATCCACGTGTTAGGTTTTGGTTTTTCTTGGTTGGCGGTGCGTAGGTTTGAGTTCATCGGTTTGAACGTCGGTGTGTCTTATTGATGAAGAAAGGGGGTTCAGGGTGTGCGTGGGGGGGGGGGGGTTGCTTCCACCAGTTTTTGTCTCGTATGAAGCGTCTAGATGAGGTTATCTCTATGGGTTTGTGTGCGTTAAGTGGAGTTTTTTTTTCACGTCACCTTGTTTCATTTGGTATGGTTGAGGTCATGGAGATATTTAATACCTAAAATTGGCTATATTTGATGAACGACTATTCAATATATGTAATCTTCATCTTAATTTATGCATTTAGAAAATAATAACCGAGAGACATAAAAGGTTTATGGGTCTACTCCATCTGATTATAAACAAGTGATGTTGTACAATACACGTAGTTAATATGTTTGAACTTCGATCAATTTCTTTAAATACTTTTGACTTGACTTTAAAAAATGCTATGGATAGATTAGTTTTTGGTTTTAAAATTTTATCACTCTGCTTTATCCTTTCTACAATTTTGTAGTAGTGATTGGTAATTAAACGAGTGTATTAGGGACTTTCACTGTCTTAAAAAAGCCACTTATTTGTGATCGGAAGGAGAATTTAGGGGGGAGGGAGTATCATCATCATTTAGGCCTGGTTTAGTTCCCAATTTTTTCTTCAAACTTTCAACTTTTCCATCACATCAAAACTTTCCTACACACACAAACTTCTAACTTTTCCGTCACATCGTTCCAATTTCAATCAAACTTTCAATTTTGGCGTGAACTAAACACACCCTTAGCAATAATTTTTCTATTGAATTTAAAACATGCCTGTACAACCATGAGTCCATGATCTACCAAAACCAAATACCAGCAAATATCTTCATTCCCTCAAATTTATGAATTTACAGCACCATTATGTCATTGTGGGCTATCTATTAATTTGTGCCTGGCATTGCATGAAAGGTTCTCATGTGCTGCATTTAACTAAATGGTACAAGTGCATGAGTAGTTGCGAGTAGCTGGAAGGGAGGTACCAACCCTAAAAGCGTCCACTCTGGGCAGCATATAATGGGAAGACTAGGCCTACACATTGATGAGAGTACACTGCACACTTTGCAGCCATCAGTACAACTACCAATCCATTAGCAAAGAGAGGAAGCAATATGCATGAAAAGCCATGAGTCTTTGCAAAGATCTTGTTGCATATGCGGCGAGTATGTTTGCATCATTGAAACTCGTACTTCCATCGTTCCAATGGAGCAATTGAACAGTAACTGAAGACAAGAAGAGCATGTATCTGTCTATCTGAATGAACATCTCGAATGTTTCTCACCTGTACAGTCGATGCAGATATGCTGCTATCTGAAGTTCTCAAGTTCAAATGGTAGTTTGTGTTGTCTTTTGATCCCCAATCTGTGAGGCGAAGGATTTCTGGAGCTGCTGCTGCAGCAGTGCTCTGAACTGGCGTGCTGAAGCCAGGCTCTCGTCCAGTTTTGCCTTCTTGGCCATGAGATCAGACTTCCTGGCTTCTGCAGCAGTAATCTCAGCGTTGTTCAAGTACATCACGCCGCCGTGATGCTCTTGCAGCGTTGATTTCAGCTGCACCATTAAAAGTTGCAGGCAGTCACTAGTATGGAGGTATGGATTCACAGCGTTGGCAGATAGTAAAATATTCTGCCTAGCGCAGGTTCTTGATGAGATCTTGAGTAATGGTTCCCTATTGGTTGATTCAGATCAGCAGGTAGTAAACAGTATATTATAACAGAACATATCTTGCTACTGGTGACCGCTGGAGTATACCATTATCTTGCAAACCTTAAAAAATGGACCAATTAGCAATGCCTTGTAAAAAGGAGAAGTTTTTTTACATTATATAAGAACAGGTTGTCATTTAAAAATTCAGATTAATGCTCTTTGGATGTTTGTGAAGTTAATGGTTATGGCAGACCGTGGTCCATGACTCATGTATTATTATCTTGACATGGGCCAGTAAAATTGACCGCTACTTTATGAGAGAGAGAGAGAGAGAATCAACCAAGATACCCTAAAAAAACAGTGTCAATGAACAGCCATTAGCCCATTGCCAGCAACAGCCCAATTAAACAAAATTGTTTGAAAAGTATCCAGTAGGAACGATTCTTTTTATAAATGTAGTGTTGTTCTTATCCAATATTTCCAAAATGGCCTACAGACAACCTGCATTTGTCCATTTTGATTAGTTCTCGGCATCTCACGGATTAGAACATATTAGCAAGTCAATCATCTTGATTTCTTGACATCATAAAACATCTACCACTGAATGGTGATATAAAGTAACAAACAAATTAATCAGAAGCAAATTAATTTATATCAAATTAGTTGTTATATTCCTAACCAATGTACTATTTATCTCTTCACAGGTAAAGTACCTATCTAGGGACATTTCAAGGCATGCGAGAAATTTAAATTATTTATTCTTTGGAGACAACCATGAATGAAATCTCCCTCCCACAATACCACCTCAACATGGTCCATCTAGATTATGATCAAATGGTTAAGACGAACCACACATTTCGACATAATGGCAGACTATTGCTTTGAGCTCGAACAGTGGTCCATCAGGCAGGCCAACAAAAGCGCTCAATTTCTAAACATCAATTGGTGCTAGCTACATTAAGTAGTGACCATGCAAGATCTATTCAATCCACTGCCTGACTGCCCAGTTGCCATTGGAAAAAATTTTTTGGCACAGTGAACGAAGACAAGAGCTCATCAGGTTCACCCAAATGACAATGTTACAAATACTAGTAGTTCAACTAAACAATCAATAAGCTCAATAGTTTATCAGGGCAAAGGATTGGGACCTTACTTGAGATACCAAATCCCTCAGGCTCTGCACTTCGTCGCGCGCCGCTGCCTCGAACCACCCCGACATCGCCTGGAACTCCTCCATCTCCTTCCTCTTGGCCTCGTAGAAGCGGTCCCACTCCTCCTCCCTCCGCTCCGCCTCCTCGATCTCGCCCCTCACCGAGCTGTGGGGGGTTGGGTAACCGCGCCCCCCCAATTCGAGCAATTCGTCAGAGAGTTCAGACACCGATGCGGATGCGGAAATTTGAGTAAACGAGAGGGAGGAGGGGTTTGGGTGGGGGATGCATATGCTCGCGCTTGCCTGAGGTCGCGGGAGATGGCGACGCGGCGGGCCCGGGCGGCGTCGATGCCGGCGCGGGCGGAGAGGGCGCGGGAGGCGAGGTCGGCGGCGCGGCGCTCGAGGAGGAGGCGGCGGCGCTCGAGACGGCGCGCGGAGGCGAGCTTCGTGTCGAGGAGGCGGGACCTCTCCGCCTGGAGCTCCTTCTCGGCCTGCGGGGGAGAGGAGGCGCCGCGGTGAGGCCGGGGAAAGCTAGGGTTTGGGGAAGGAGAGGAGAGGGAGGAGGAGGAGGAGGGGGAGAGACGTGGAGGAGGGAGAGGCGGTGGTTGCGGGCGTCCTCCATCTGCCGGACGCGCTCCTCGAAGGCGGCCGAGAGCTCCATCGCGCGCCGCCGCCGCCGCCGGTGAGGGGTCGCCGAGGTGGGGCCCGTGGGGGAATTTGGTTGGGCGGGAAAGAGCAGCGTCGTAACTGCCCTGCACAAAGTGGAAGATCCACGGCCCACGGACCACAGCTCGATCCTCGAAGTCCTTGATTGACATTAGGAATAAGTCTACATTGCCTCCCTCATTTCATGCTCTGGTTGAATCCCTTCCTTCATTCGTAAAACGGGTATAATGTCTCCTCAATATTTGAAAACCCGTGTAAACCGACTCTTTCGGTGATTTCGAAAGTCGTTTTGTCCTACCTGGTGCTCATAGGACCCACATGTTAATGAGAAAAAAAGATAAAAAATTAACAGCCAGTCATCCTAATCTCTTATTTTATTTTCCTCCCTCTCTCTTTCCCGTTCTCACTCTCTCCAGTTGGGTGCCTGCTTGCGGCGACGCTTTCGCTGTGCTTCTGCATGCTCCTGCTGAAGCGCAGGGTGACCGGGAACATGACACGCTTCGCAAACACGCCGTTCGACATGTGCCACTCGTCGCCGGTTCAGCGGTTCGTGTCCAAGAGTAGCGTGATCAACTCGTGCCTATGGGTGCTGGGCAGTGACAACTTCATCAACACTGGGGCGCGACCTCAAGGCGACCATGGCAGCATACGGTGGATGGAGGACCAGGGCCGTCCCATGAATTTTAGGGGCCCTGTACGAAAATCTTATCCGAATACTAAACATAAGCTATAAAATGAACTAATAAAAACTTAGGCTGCGTGCAGCACAAAGAGAGAAAAACTCTCCTTTTACGCGCACATGTTTCATGCACTGCTATAGACCGTGCGTTTTTTATAAAAATATTGAAAAGTTGCTTTAAAAATAATATTAATCCATTTTCAAGTTTAAAATTATTAATATTCAATTAATCATGCACTAATGACTGACGTATCTTCTCGATTTCTCTTTTTCCATCCTCTCAAACGCACACCCTTATGCCCCATGATATATTTTGTAGCAGTATAAACTAGAGTAGAAAAAAAATTGTATATGCGCATAATCTTCAATTAAAAAGCATAATTCTCTTAGTGTTTCCTAAAAATAAAATTTTCAATGATTTGCAGAAGACATTAGTTGAAAGTTGAAATGCTATATAAACCTATGAACATATAGATAAAGATGTCAAAAATAGTATTTAATTTAGTATGCATACTAGATAAATCATAAACCTTGTGACCAAAATAAAAATTTAGTGCACATATACGCTAGTGCATGCATTGCAGCCGGCCTTCTTGCTTGCTGCCTTGCAGCCGTAGCGGCGTGGAGAGCAAAGGCGTTGCTTGCTGCCTTGCCACTTTGATGCTTGCTGCGTTGCGGCGGCACAACGCACAGCGGCAGACGCACAGACGTCGAGCGACGAGCATGCGAGATTGGGGCCCCCTGAAGATCGGGGGCCCTGTTCGGTCGCGCTGGTCGCGCTCCCCTCGGGACGGCCCTGTGGATTCCAGCCAGAGATGGCCCCTTAGCAGTCAGTGCTGGAGAGAGGATTGCTGGAGGCTGGGATCACGCCGTACAACGGCTTCACGTTCAACCACTTCAACGGGACCACGACGACTCCCCCTCCCCCCTCCCTTTGGTTGGCGTAGACCACGGTGAGCGGCGGCCCTGCTCCCTTCGACCCCGCCTCCCCGTGAGGCGTGAGCAATGACGGTGGCATTCTAACAGGTAGGTATATCCCTCCTCTTCTCCCCATCGTCCTCTCCCAAAGAATCCCTTCACTGTATTCTTGTGGATTTGACAATGGTGGTGAGTGGCAACGCCTCGGCCTCCGCTCAACAGCGGCGGTGGAGGTGGTTTTGTGATGAATGTTATGTTGTAATTTTTTAGGATGATTCTTCTTGTAGGATTTGTGAGAATTTTTTATTCAATTTCTGTACCTGTTCTTGGCTTGAAGCATTTGCTCAGTTTTAGACGATGCAAGCTGCTTTTTTTTTCATTCCTGGAACAATCAAAGGTGCCGGTTCCTAATATGGCACACCTGAGGGTTGTCTGTTGAAAAATCATGACACCTATACTAATCGTTTCCAACCGGCAGGAATGAGAGGTTTTCTGTAGTAGTGCATGGTCATACCTATAATCTTTGGCTATGCTTGTATATATACTCACGTGTAGATAGATGACTGATTTCTTTCTATAGACCATTGTCTAAGGAAAAAATGTTTGTACCAGTAACTAAACCAACTAATAAGATTCGAACCATGCTGATAGATGAACACAACTCATTGTCACATAATCCATCCAAGTGCATACCAAAGCAACGTGCAACGACTATCCAAAGAGCCAAGTGACACTGCAAAACTCCACACTTGTACGTACAGGTGTATATGATCATACGTATATATAGGTTACACAACAACAGCATCCTGCACGTCTCCAGTAGTAAGCTCTGGCCTCTGGAGCTTGTCGGCCAACCCCTCCATGCCCATCCGGTGAAGCAGGAGCCAGACGACGGTGAGGAACTCCCCGCCGACGCCCATGCTCTTGCTGTGCAGGAACCCCCTGCATCTGCTCGCGGAGTAGCATATCATCTCCACCCACACCCCGCCGATGACCCTTAGTCTCCTGTCAGCGTCCAGCTCCATCATCGCTCCGGCGAGCCTGCGCGCATTTGCTAGATGCCGGCCTTCTCCTCCTCCTCCTCCTCCTCCTTGCTCTGCAGCGGCCGTGGTGGGCTCGTCGACGCTGAAGAGGAGCCAACGTGCAAGCTCTCTCTCGCTGAGCTTCTCCTGCTGCCTCTGGTTTCTCAAGGCACGCCTGATCTCGCGGCAGGCCACGGTGAACAGGCTCTGTTGGGTGCCGGGCATCAGCATGTCCGGCTGGAACAGGAGCAAGTACATCATGTAGTTGGATATTTCCATGGAGCGCGCCGCCGCGCTGGCGCCGTCGGCATCTTCAGCAGCCGTCGGAACATCCGTGCAGTGAAGGCAGATGGCCGTGGCGATGTGCCAGACAAGGACGGCCTCGTCGAACGGCAACTCCGTTACGCTCCACCCTAGCTCCCCGTAGCATTGCTCCCGCCGGAGAGTCCAATGGCCTCGCCGGTCATTGAATCTCCGGTGGTCGGCGACGCTGCGTAGGCTAACCCAACCGGATGTCAGGTCCTTGCGGATGAAACCTATGATCTTTGCTGTTGAGGAACGATGTTCAAGATACCAGTGTTGGTTGACATAGTTCTTGCACCCCAACAACGTAGCGATCCACATCACCATTGTTGGCCATCGGCTGCGGGCAGCGAAGCCGATGAGGTTGAACTGCACGATAGTGCGGTGCATTTCTGGTGCTAGCATCCACAATGGCACCCAGTTCCAGTCGTTCAGCCAAACAAGGGAACTGAATTCCATCACGATGGCAGAGCACAGAAGGATGTAGGTTACCTTGACATCGTCCCTGTCAAGTCCGTCCTTGTTGCTGTCAAGCCCGTCGAAGCCCGCGACGGCCGTGATTCCCAGCAGGAAGAAGAGTACCCACAGGAAGATGCCGACGATGGTGTAGTTGGTGTTCTTCTTGGTGTAGAAGAACTGGAATGCTAAATCCAGAAGATTGCACAGGTTGTAGTAGGCGTCGTAGTTTTCGAGCGCCATGAAGGACGTGAGGTAGCCAATCCGGCGAGCGTAGGGTGCGGGGAAATCTATGAACAGCTCCATGAGCTCCTCTAGGATATTGGGTGCAAGCAACTGTGCCCGCTGCTCGCGGCTACGGCGGCGGGCCGCCCGACGAGCCTCGCCGTCGTCGTTGATGTTCACCGCGTCGTCGATGTTCCTGGTGGCGGCTTGTTCTCTTGCCTGCCGTATGTAGTTCTCTAACGACATGTCGCCTCCTTCCTCCTCCGCCGTCGTCTTCCTCCGGCTCCGACGGTCAGAGCTCACGGTTGCGTGCCACGTAATGCTGGCTCGCCGCAGAGCCCACAGTCTATGACCCATTTTAAGGAACCCGGCTACGAACAGCGCCACCGGGCAGCGCACCGGCACCTTCCCGCCGGACCATGACCTACAGAACACGTAGACGGACACAGCGGCCTGAGACGACATGGCCACCGCGTGCCGCGCCCACAGCTCGTTGTCCTCGATGTTGTACGCGGTTATTGTGTCCTGCCCGCCGAGGTGGATGAGGAAGACGGGCGCCCACAACACCTCCAGCATGGAAGATCTCCCGTGGCCGTTGCTGGTGCCGCCGGCGGCGGCCACCGCCCCCGGCGCGGGCTTCCTGTGGCGGTTGAAGAGGGTGGCGAGGCCGTAGATCGCCAGAGCATCGGAGCCCAGGTAGGCGAGCCAGATGCATGTCCTGAAGAGTGCCGGGATGCGGTACCTGCGGAAGGTGGCGGAGACGAAGAGGAAGCACTGGAGGAAGAGACTGCTAAGCGCGAGCACGCGGAGCTGCCATTCTTCCCACCACTGCACCATCCCGGGCCAGGACACCGCCATCTTCTTCTTCGCTTCTTCCTCTTCTCTCGTCTTCCTCCTCTCCGGTCAATGAGATGAGAAGGTTTATCGATTACGCAAAGAAATTCTTATTTTCCTCGCCTCAATTGTTTTTGTTTCCTCGCTCAGAGTCTCTCTTCGCTTGCTTCATTAATCTTGTGAATTCTGTGCGCGCGCATTATATATATATATATATATATATATATATATATATATATATACTCATATGGGGCACCATGGTGCCCGGGCACCATGGTTTCAAATGCACAAAATCACTCAAATTTTTCAAAATTTTCAAATTGTGAGTATATACCTAGTTATAAGAATTCGATTCATACCTATACCTATCAACAAAACAACTCAAATTTAACTTTATTTCACAATCCATGATTACATACCTAACTAATTATATGTATGGATGCTATATACCTAGAATCAAAATCTAACAAAAACAAGTTCAAATTCAGTTCAAACTTGCTTTCAACTAGTTAGTAAAGTAGTTAATATTAATACCTAAATAATTGAAAAAGTTTCATGCTCATTTGAATTGGGTATATACTCAATTTCAACAATGGTGCCCGGGCACCATGGAGCACCAAACAAATTTACTATATATATATATATATATATATATATATATATATATATATATATATATATATATATATATATATATCGGCTACGTAAAAAAATAGTCCCAGACTACACAAAATGGTGGGCTGTGTCACTAGCTGGTCCCCTTCGTAGTTGGTACGTTTCTCGTAGCTATAGAATTTTATATTTTTATATGTACATAATAAATTATCAAGGCACTAACCCAACTGTAAAGCGTTGACATTGTCTTTGTATGAGACAAAAAAAAAGGTATGTGAACGCCGGAGAATATAGCTGGAGTAATAACTGTTTACACCTAAATTTAACATCTAGATTCAAATTAAGAAAAATTGTCAAGATTTAGAAAAATCGCTGGTTTCCTCCACAGGGCCGGTCTGACCGCTGTGTATGGGCCAGTCAGACTGTGGTTTGAGGGCCGGTCTGACCGGCAGCATGTGGCCGGTCAGTTCAGTAGAGTCCGAAACCGACTCTGTTTTCGTGGGGTCTCGGGATTCCTTTCTTAGGAAGACATGTTTCGGGTTTCCATTGGTTTATATATCGAGTTGGATGTGGATGAGAACTAGTAGGAGGCAAGACCAAGGGACAAGGTCAGTTCGATTGGAATCTCTCCCCCGAACACAATCGAATCGTTCTTTTATCTTTATTTTAGCTATATTTTGTACTTTACTCTAGTTTTAGTCCATCTTTATCGATTTGCGCCGTAAATCGTCCGCCGTCGCTGCAAGAGTGTGATTACCCCTTTGTAGATTTGTCTCATGAACCTTCCGTTTGCCCACGAGACGGGTAGTTATCCTCATATCGATCTAAATCGGCCTAGAGACTGATTTTGATCTCTAAATCGGCTCCGCTAGCCGGTTTAGCTTTTCTTTCTACAAAACCTATCTTAATTTAGCGTTTAGCTAGATCGGGGTGGTTGGCGACTCTGCAAGGCGTTTAGGTGTCCCGATCATAATTGTCTTCTAAAAAAATTACCAACATAATTTTTGACGATTTCACTGGGGAACGATCTATTCGGCCATGTTGCGGCCGAATTTGGTTTAAACTACTCCGATACCGTTTCGTCAAATCAATAGTTTGGGCTAAACAGCCGAAATTAATCTACACTCTAATTATTGTTGCCGCCGACATTATTGTTTTTGAGCCGAATTGTTCTGTTCGGCCACGGCTAGACGTCAAACTGTATTCACACAGGGGGAGCAGCAGCCGGCTCGGCAACGTTGTTTTCTTTTGTTTCACACAGCAACAGAAAAAAAAATCATCAATCAGTCAGATTTTTTTTTTAGAACTAGGGCATTACTGCCCCCATTTCTATTACCAGAAACGGGAATAAGAGTCTTACAGGCCAAGAGAGGATAGAGAGGAAAGCAAAGAAAAGGAAAAGACTAGAGGCATAAACCTCATAGGATCAATCAGTCAGATTTAGTCAAAGCTAGTACTGCACACGTATTCCCCAAAAAAAAAATACTCCCTCCGTTTCACAATGTAAGTCATTCTAGCATTTTCTATATTTATATTGATGTTAATGAATCAAGACATATATATCTATCTAGATTCATTAAGATTAATATGAATGTGGAAAATACTAGAATGACTTACATTGTAAAACGGAGGAAGTAGCTGATCTCTGATTCTACCGATTCATAATTGTATCGTTTACACTGTGAAGGATTAAAATTTCCAAATTTTTGTTTAAGTCCTCACGGTTGATTATCAAAAGATCAGATACCATTTGTTAGGTGCACTTGCTAATTATACAAGACCTTATTTTAATCTATTTGGTCAAGGATTTTGGCTATGAGCTATATGGCCAAAATTAATCAAGCAATATCTTTATCAACCATCATGACTGGGAGCAAGATCAAGAAGCTCACCAAGGAAGATTTAACCGAGGAGGAGCGGTAGGACCTTGAAGAACAACGGGAGGCGGTGAAGGAACTTCTTACATAATACATCAGGACCAATCAAGGCATTATCAAAAGACACGTCCCGCTACCTCAAGTCATGGTTTCACGTAAGGTAACCTCCGATCCGCCTGATCTGTCTCTTGATATTAAAAAAACTATTGATCGTTATGTAGATGCATCTCTTAGCGCTTATATTGGTCCGGCGACGACCACGACCACCATTACTATCTAGGCACCAAACATCAGCATAATATAAGATGGGGGAGGAGGCGACGATAAGAAGAAACAACAGCACCGGGCTTGTCGTCGCCGGCGGCCTCTGGCTCCTTCTGCACGGAGATGGCGCAGACGACGACCCCCCACTGCCACTCACCTTGCAGAGCAACGAGGGGTCGTCTGTAACGCTCCGCTTTTCGCGAGACGTTAAAAACTAATTCGACAAAATCTTATATGCGAAAATTTAGTTCTTTGTGTGCGAGTCTAAGTCATGCCATGGATCTTAATTCAATCTCCATCTTTGTTCCCCTCGTCGCCATCAAAATCGCCCACCTCAAGATTCCAATTCCGATTCAAGTCTCCAAATCAAATTCCAAAATTCAATCGCCTCCTTTGAATCTTCACCAAATATTCGCCCGACTCCAAAAAATATTCAAATTCCATTTCCAAACTCTTTTTTTTTCTCTCCAAACCGGATCTCCCAGTAAAAGTCTACTTCGCCTCCCTCAAATCCTTGTGGGCCGAATTCCTTCCCTGGCCTACTTCCTTCTCCTAGCCGCTCTCCCCTTCTCACATGCGCCGCTCGCGCGTGCACCATGGCCGAGAGAGAGAGAGAGAGAGAGAGAGAGAGCTCTCTCTTTTCTCTTGTGGTGTCGATCTCCCGTCGCCGCCTTTCGATCTTCGTCACCGCCCGCTGCTTCCCGCCGCCGCGGTTTGAACCCTCCCGCCGCCGCTGTTCGATTTTGCTCCACGCGCGGTGGCCGACCGCCCTGGCCCGCCTGCGCCGCGCAGCCGCCTGGCCCCGATGCCCCATGTCGCTTCCTTCCAAAACCAAGAGACAGAGAGCTCGTGCCCTTCTCTCTCGCTCACGCCCCTCTTCCTCTTTCCTCCCAAAGTGGCAAGGGTGCAAAGCTCCTTTCTTCCTCCCTCCTTCGCTTTTGCCCGACCACTGCCATCGTCCGCCTCTGCGCCGCTTGACCGCCCGCGCCAGCTGCCTCGCCCCCTTGACCGTCGAGGTCGGTTTCGCCCTCTCCAAACCGACATCCCCAATTCCTTCCACATGAAGCCTTCCGGCGCCTATAAAACCCCACACCGCTTCCCTATCCCTCCCATTTTGCTCGCCTCACACCCACGCGCCATTGCCGCCCCTGCCGCCTGGCTGCTCGCCGCCGTCGTCGCTCTTTCTGCCACCGCGCGTGCCCGGGAGGCCGGCGAGCACGAGGAGTCGACGAGGAGCTCCGCGCCGCCCCCATCCTCTCGTCTCCCTCTCTTCTTCCCCGGCCGCGCCCACTCGGTGCCGTGCCGTCCCGCCGTCGCGACCACCTCGCCACGACTCCCTCCGCGTCGCCAACGCTGCTCCTCCCTCGTCGGTGAGCTCCCCACCGCATCCATCCTCCTGCCGCACGCCATAGCCCACCGCACACCATTGCTCTGCCCTGGAGGTCGCTCGCTGGCGCCATGACTCCCTAGGCTAGCTCGTCGCCGCCCGTGGCTTGAAACGAGTTCCCGGAGCCGTGTAGAAGCTCCTTCCCCGGTGAATTGGACTCCCGTTGCCCCGGCGAGATTTTCCCCTTATCTCCGCCGGCGATGGCCGCCGCCGCAATCCGCCGCCGTCGGCCCTTCTCTCGCCGATTCCTTGCGCCGTGACCCACCCCATGTCCTCTTGAACCTCCCCGGCGCGCCACCACGGCCGCCCGCCTCGCCGACTACGGCCGCGCCGTGCCACCCATCCCGCCGCCGCACGGCCGCCGTCGCCAGCCGCCGTGTCGCCGCCTCTCCCTCATCCGCACCGTTGAATCATCCCGCCTTGACCCCCTCTCACTTCTGGAGCCCGCCGCCCACTCCGGTTCGCCGCCGCTCGCCGGAACTCGCCGCACGCCGTGAGCCGTCGGATTGGCCGCCAGGCCTCCTCCCTCGCCTTGGGAAATGGATTTGAGAAGCCTTGAAAACCCGACATGTGGTGTCGGCGTGTTTGAAAATAAAATGGATTGTGAAAACTCGCGATGCGGGGGTTGTGCCTGTGTGGCACTGTCCCGTATTCGCATATAAGGACCGATTCCTGTGGGAAATTCATCCGAGCATATAACAAGTGCGACCACACGGGTGCAATGGGACGCCCCTGGCTGAGTAATTAGCTAATCGGGGGAGCCATGATGCCAAGAGACATGTGGAGAACCCTCGGGCTTCCTGGCACAGTATGGTCTGGGACCTAATCTGGTGTTGGTCTGGGACCCCTCTCGTTGGCATATGGTGAACCTGTGTCGGCTA